AAGAAGCTTGTGTCACTAAAAGCGAAACATCCTCAACTTTACCAAAACCCAGTCCAGTAGATGATTTAACCTTTTCTACATGATTGTAGATTATTCTATGGTCAAATGAGACCAAAATGTTTTTTAAATAATCTGCATATGCTGACTTTTAGCATATGCAGAGGATGAAGAGGATTTGGTGATACTACTACTCTTAATGATAGACATATCAGCATAAGGTACGGTACTTTTTTTATACCCTGAAAAAGAAAAGATTGGAAATTTTACCTGTAGATCTGAAATCAAGTCTCCTGGCTTCTCCCCCATGTATTCAATTAGGCCTCGGATTACGACTTCCCTCCTCTTTTCTATAGCAGCGGTTGGATCCTACGAAACAACATAGAAATAAAAAACACCACGAATTAGGAAGTATTCAGCACTTCTTATCTTGAATATGTTTTCATATTTCTGATTGTGTTCATTTAGATATAAAAACGTATATAATGACAAATGATGGAAAATCTCCTCTCTTGTTGCCAAGGACTCACCGCAAATCTTGCAGGGCACACTCATTTATGCTCTAAATTACAGAAACAAAATCAGTGTGGCCCATACCAAACAGTATCACATGCAAGTATTGTAATGTATTGTAAATACAAGGGATGCAAGAAGACCGAAGATAATTTGTTTGAAGTGTATCAAGCGAATAAAAATATCTAAGATCGCTTGACAGCCCTTATTCATATTCAAAATATTATTTAACAATGAGCATTACAGTAAAAAAAACTCCAGACCCAAAAACGTTTACACCATTGAGTCACTTTAAAGCAGTTAAGATAAAATGTTTTACATTACAAAAAGCAGAAACAAGTCTGGAGCAGGATCCAACCAATGTATAATGCCCCCCCCCCCAAAAAACTATTGCATCCCTAGCGAGTACATTACATTCACTTAATTTATTAACAGTTCTTTTTGTATCACATTTACCTCCTGCTGTAGCTTTCCTCCATCAATTGGCAGCAGTGAAAGGAAAAATCTAAAATAAAATAAAATAAAATTAATAAACATGCTTAAAAATACTCTTCATTGGACAAATATCATAAGCATTTAAACAGGCGGTGCTGCTTTTTACATATAAAAAATGCATTTAGATTAGTACAAACAAAGTGCTTTGTGCATTTTGCGTTACTACACGTGATTCCACAAAAAACATGCTATACCACAACATGTACCTGTCTTTAGCTGAATGTATTACCTTGTCAGGACTTGACATTAAGTGCTTTGAGGTACTTGAAGTGGCAGGTATTTTTTACTTGCCCGGAAACAAAACCTACTTGTCCAGCAAAATATCGTTTATTTCAAAATTAACATGCCAAAATGTTGTTCATATGAAATGCGAATGTAAGTCACATTAGATTTTTAACATTTCCACTCTAATTTTGTGACTGCAATAGGCTATAGCAGTCACCCTCAGTATGTTCTTTTAAAAATGCATGTTTATAATGTATCACTTATACTTTGTTTGGGTTTTTTAAATGTGCTGCAGATTTCTGAATGTATTTGAACTTATCATAACTAACCATATAGCTGCACATTGGCTAAAACAGACAGGCCTTGATATAATACAGTGATGCTGATGCGGACGGGTCATAACATTAACAACATGCAGTAGCTGTTAACTTAACGTTAGTTTTCTGCTGAAACAAGCTACTTTCTGACCGCGAGGAAATCAGAGCGATCTCAGATAGCAATAAACATGTTTTCTGCCTCCGCACCATGCTCTGCACCTGTCTCCTCCTTGAGAGTCGCTCCGCTGAGCTAATGTAACTAGGGACTTCTGCGGGGAAATGAACTGTCCCCAAGAGTAGAAAATAATAGAAGATTAATAAATGTCACGTGGCTTCTGTTGCCAACTGTATTTTCCACTTGCACCTCCGGCAACAAGACAGAGCAGGACAGTAGCGACTTTGGTCTACTTATGTTAGCTGCGTACCGTTAGCAACAGCTAGCTAGAAGCTAGCAGCTCCAAACTGCGAAAACTACGCCTGTTATTATGGTTCAGAACATTTAAGGGGTAGTTGGTAATGTTACGAGTCTTAACACAAATCACTTTGCTAAACAACGAAATTGTAGGACCATTATACTGGCACAGTTTTATGCTAACAACATGTTTGGGGCTAGAGTAGACAGTTAACATGAAGTAATTTTGGACACGAACTGCCAAGAAAATAAAACGACGATTTGACCACAGATTGTATATATTTGATCAAATACGCGACAAACCTTACAGAGAAAGCACCATATATTTAAAAAATCTTACTTTGAGTTGGATCTCACGGGAAACCAGACAACCGTGTCCAAGGCTGGCTCAGCGCCCATCACCAACAACAAGCTCGCGGAAACGGTCCGAACCGGAAGCAAACTCCCGCCCAGTAGAAATTACTTTGTCTGAACACTTATTGATAGCGTCAGATTTAAGAAGCACTGCACTGCCAACAATATTTTTTCAAAATTTAGTTAAATACACACACAAAACGTATTTGTGGGTATATTGTTTTTGTTTTAGTAAATGGAAATTATTTTTCTAATATTAAAACCATAAGAATAAATTTTAAGTCCGAAATTGCAAATACAAGTACTTAGGTTCAAAGTTGCGCTTGCAACACTTTTCTCAGTGTGCAGTAGTTTTAATGTCTGCGGGTTATTCCAGAGACTGGCCAATGTAACCCTGCTCACAAGTGCCACCTGGTGGTTGTTTTGGTCATTGCAGCATCACTGGGAGGGGGGGAAATAAAAGACGCGTGAATCACACGAGACTCACGTGTGATTCACGCGTGAAAGGCGACAAAACGGAATGGGACCTACTGTAACTCAGCCCTTACCAGAATGTTGATCTGGAATTCACTCTCGCTCTCGACACAGGGGGAACATGCAAAAGAAAGTAAGTTCATGCGCAAAGACCTACTTCATCTAAATGCTTACGAGTTGTTTGCATTGGGACGACCGTGGGCTGCCCTATTTCGTATTACAACCTGCCGTACAGTAATTATATTTAAAACCCCTGTATGTGTGTGTGTGAGCGCATGTGTGTGTCTGCATGTGTGTGTGTGTGTGTGTGTCTTCTTCCATAAATCCCCTTTATAACAGCAAGCCCCTTTACGTGATCTATCACTCTGATTTACGTCCCAAGTAGCGGCCATAAAGAGAGCCCCAAACTCTATCTCCAGTGTAGATTGGATTTAGGTGCTGGTTAGTTCACACTCAAATCCAATTAAAAGCTGCAAATAAATAACACTATAAGGACCTTCTGTTCCTTTTCAACAGTGTATGATTTTGTCCTTGGTGTCGGGCTTTTCCTGTATGGGTTTTACGTCTTGAACTTGGTCTGAATGTTAAAGCTATACCCGTTTCTGCAAGGTTTGAATGTTTAGCACCTCCGCTCACAGGTTTCTCATTTCCCCTACGCTCTCATTCCTCTGAGCCATCTAGTTTTATTTGCAATCTATATGCTAACATTAGCATGGGCGCAACTTCTTGTAAGCTGTACAACAATCACTGATGAAATGGTACAAAAGCAACGCACTGCTCACAAAATATTTAACTGAAAGATTACCGCTAGTTCCGCGCCCGAATGTGGTCCGAGCATAGATAGTCCGAGGCGGTCCTGCGGGTCTCTCCCAGAGACAAGTCTCTCCAGAGGATACGATGTAAGCTTGCTATGTTCATCTGAGCTTGATTTCTTCTTTGATTATTTTTTGGCTTTAGTTCCCTCTTCTCTTCCTCACTGTTGTGTTGTTTGGGCTGTTTTGCTGTGTCTGCAGTTACAGCCAGAAGAGTTATAGCCACTTATGCTAACATGCTACTGTGTTTAGCAGCGCTGTAGAGGCTAGAGGACGCAGCCTCGTTCTGTGATTGGAGGAGAACGGGCGTCAAGCGAAAGTCTCTACTTCGAACTTTTTACGGCCTCAATTCATACACAAGCTGAATCAATGAGATCAAGTTTTCAATAAAATTACAGATTATAATACAACTTTTATGTATTAATACACTTTTTTAAGAACTCATTAGAAAAATAATTGGGTATAGCTTCTTGAAGAGCAGTCGCAGATTAATATTTAAGAAGTATTGTCTCTTTCTTTCTCTTTATGTCTGTCATTGCGTTTTATTTATTCAATTTCATTTTCTGTCTGACTACATCTTGACTTGCGATCACCTGAGTGCAGCACATACTGTAAACTATACCTTTAACAATAATGATAAAAAGGAAATGAAAAGAAAATTAGGGAGTATTGCCTGTTCCAACTATTACGAAATCTGGTAATATTCAATAAATACTGTATATGAAAGAATACACACATTTCTTTATTATATTTACTAACATGTGCAGCAAATGCATTTTAAACAAAAGGTAAAACATAAGTGGAATGTTAAAACTTTGTAGTAGGTAGTGGGAATGCAACCTTGCAGATATTGCATTAGTAGAGAGGCATACCTGCAAATGGAATATATTTAACAGAATTTTCATTATTTGGAGAACATCAGGATTGTCGAGTTAGATGTTGGAATCCTGTTTCTGTCGACCTTCAGGATCTTGGTGAAGCTAAAAAAAAAGTAGAACGACATAATTAATTCTATGATGAACAGGGGATGTGAGCTGGTTGCTGTCCTCATGTCTCATCGTAATCATACATTTCACACGGATTAAAATCCCACACAGAATACCTGAAACCAGGTGGTCTTCTGAAACCAGAAGACCAGGTGGTCTTCTGGTTTCAGAAGACCACCTGAAACCAGAAGACACCAATAATATGTATCGTCCACATGTGTGTCAGGTAAATGAGGCTATAAAACTATACACAAATCACACCAGGGACAATATTTTTCATAACGTCAAACTTTACATTTTTACATTTTCCCAGTGGTGAGAAGCCATTTGGTCATGCGTTTAAAAACCTGGTCTGACGTATGGAAATGCCTAACAGGGATGATTGAGAGTTTGTGCCTTTGCCTTCTGTCCCCAGGTCCGCCCAGCATCTCCAGCACCCAGACCCAGCAGGCGCTCTACGGGGAGAAGGGCCAGATCAAGTGCTTCATCCGCAGCACTCCTCCTCCGGACCGCATCGTAAGTCAACGGGAAGCAGCCAAAGAAGCCAGTGTACATGCAGGATATACAAATACTCCAAACTCTGTGATCCACTTTAAAGTCCCAACAAGTGACCAACCAACCTTATTCAACCATTAGATGAACTGTTACATGATTCAAATTGAATGACCAAAATGTTGAGAAATGGGATATTGTCAATGAGGCGACATTATTAACCTTTTTTCAAATAGTGTTCAAAGACAACGCAGTGTTACCACAAGCTACCACAATATTCCCCCATCAAAATCTGGAGTAGCTGCTTACTTTAAATTTGTTTCATTAATTATGTATACTTCAGCTCCATCAAGCATAAATCTGGGCATTGTGCGGCCCGGGGGCTACATCCGGCCTGATTTGCATTTCTATGCGGCCCTTTACCTTTTGTGAACCTCACTGCTCTGTGGCTTATTTAAATGGAGAAGAAGTCAATACGCAACTTGTAATTTTATATGTGCTTCCCATTGCTTGTCATAAATTTATTCTGTTCTCATGAATTGACCAAAAACCTTATCAGTAATCAGATTTTATTATAAACAAAATGTCCACAAAAACTAAGAAAACACTGAAGTAGCTTTTTACAAGATTAAATGTAAGTGGAAAAACCAGTCAGCATCTGTGACCTGTAGATATATCCAATTATTGTTCTATTTGTTATTTGTTTTGTTAGATAAACATACTGGTATTGGCCCTGAATAAAAATGATAAACAAATCAGCTGACCCCTATTTCTAGCGACCGAACACCGGCCGATAGCGAGGCCGTAACACTAGTCAAAAGCATGAGATGACTAATCGTAGCTACTTTAAAGAATGTTTAAAGTCCATTGATTTCTTAAATAATGGATAATCCGTGTCTAGATAACGTAGTATGATTTGAATCTTAAAAAAATGCACTTAATAAAAGGCTCCATTAGCGCAATATCCACTTTATCCCTTGACCCCAATGGGCCCATTCCACAAACCAAGGCTTAAATGAACTCAAATGACCAGTGTGCAGCAGAAGTTTCAGACATTTCTGGCGTTTCATATTGCCTAAACTTTAGTCCAATAGAACCAGCGGGGTGCTCGGGCCGACGGGACGATATATAAGCATCAATAATTACAGCGCACAATCCGTCTCATTCTCCTGCCGAAATGAGAACGTTTGATTTCAGCACATTAGGAGATAATTAGGGAACATTAAAGGATGATTCAAAGTAGGCCGTGTGAGTTATAGCCTGAATGTGTGTAGGAAGTCTTTGAGAATGTGCTTTGGTCGTTTGAGGTAAGGGGGAGTTAGGTAGTTATGTATGGATTAGCCCATTCTCACAGAGACATAAGAGGGACGCGTTATCACCCGTGGATTGTGATGTAGAAGTAACACTACTGTAGGAATAGTTTCACTTTTAATGAATATAAAAGTAACATTGCTTTGGAAATGGCAGATCTTATGCTGTGTTTTCGTTTTGGGATTTTTTTAATGATATACTTATTACTTGTTAATGGCATTCTCTTACATTCAATTCAATTATTATTTATGTATAGCCATAAATCACAACAGAAATGATCTTGAAGGATTTAACACAACTGTTGAGCTTGCCAATACAGATCAGAGAATCAAACAGATCAAACACAATAAATAAAACAGAAAACACATTGATATTGGTCCTAAAGGGACAGATGGCCGATGTCAAAAACTGTTTTGGAATATTGAGTGTCCTGGATCATAACCACTGTCATTTTTGTTAGACCCATGTCAGGCCAAAGTACATATTATCAAGATTATGCTTAATAATGGGTCTGAATGAACAAATAATGCATTGTGTGACGGCTTATTTTTTCAAACAATGAGGTGTTCTGATGTGTAATTTATTTTACTGTTTCAAATTCATAGAAAACAATTCTCACCTGGGTTTAGTAAAAAAAAATGCACACTAGGCAAAATCCTCCAGCTGCAGTAGTCCTGACCAAGCCGAGCATCAACTTCCAGAGATTGGTCCCTGGGCGCTGTCAAACGGCACCCACTGCTCCTGATAAACTCCCTTGTGGCATCAGTGTGGGTCAAATGCAAAGGATGAATTAGCCTACGGGGATAAATAAAGTGCCCTTACCTGTATACTCTTTGCTTTGGTGTGTTTTGTTCTTGGCTGGCTGATTTCCAGAGAGGGGAGTTTGACTGAGATTCATGATACATAACAACTTGAGGACTCTTTTGGAATGTCCATTTTCTTCCTTCCAAGGTTTGTTGACATTATTGTCCAGTGGAGCAGGAGGCTTTTCTGTAATGGCTTCTTTGGCGTTGTCAAAAATGAAATAGTTGTAACAGAATTGTACCAAGGTGATGCACAGTTCTGTTGTATGTACTTCTTTATTATTAAAAGGTTGTTTATAAGATGCTTTCAAAGCATATGAGATGTATTATGTATCATAGGCATCTTTTGAGAATTTCACTTTTGCAGATGTAAAAGTTATATTAAAGGTTGTCGACCACTGAAAAAGAGAAATATTGAATCTAGTTTTTGGAGCCCCTTTTTAACAAACTGATGGATTATTACGGCACACGAATAGCCGAACGAGAACGGTTTTGTCATTATGGGAAAAACCAACTTAGTTTTCCTGTTGAGGAAGTTGGGGGTGCTCTGGAATATTCATCCATTTCCTTAACACCTGTGAATAGTGCTCAATCTTTTCGTCTTTTTCAACCAATACCATTTGAACTGTTTGATTTCACTGTTATGAAACGATTTTACAACATTGTCAAAGCTGGGGTACCTACTTTTGTTTTTTCATAAAGAATACATTGTGTTTGACCCAACAGAAAGATCACACCAACGTGAAACCTTTATCTTCTTTTCTTTTGCACACTAAGAAGAAAAAACTCTCTACTTTGGACAGAGAGCTTTTTACTTTTCAGTCTAAATAAGTGGTGACAGGCCATAAATACATCCATAAAAACTAGAGATTGAAACAAACTTGTTGAAGAGCAAGAACTAATTTCATGTGTTGCACAATATAGTAGATTTTTTTGGATGCTTGGATGTTTTAGTACCCCAGCTTTAGATCCTGAAAGTGCTTCGAGGCGACTGCTGTTGTGATGTTTTTCTGACTGTTGATGTGATGCTGTAGGCGTGGTCGTGGAAGGAGACCGTGCTGGAGTCGGGCACCTCGGGGCGCTACACCGTGGAGACCGTGAGCACCGACGACGGCGTGATCTCCACTTTAACCATGAGTAACATCGTCCCCGCGGACTTCCAGACCATCTACAACTGCACGGCCTGGAACAGCTTCGGATCAGACACCGAGATCATCCGCCTCAAGGAGCAAGGTAAAAAAAGCATGCTCCAGTGGTGAGGGTCAGAACCTGGGATTAGGTCAGTGTTCCAGGTTCCATTCTCAAAGTGTTAAATGAATCTGGAGTTCAACACTTGGACATACTCAGAAGAAAAATCAAATTTAAAAAAAATTGTTTTCCCCACCAAAATTATGTTTACAACTCAAGTCAAGCAGCCTGTTAAGCTAAAACGGTGCGGCAAGCTTATTTTTTCGACTTGAGAGGTGGGTTTCAGTCGATACCACAGGCTCATAACACATGTATTAAACATTAGAAGGAGAGCTGGTACGTTTGACTGTGATTCTAATGTTCCTTTCTCACATAAAGTCTTGCGTCTGACTAAGCCAGCCCACAGAAACCATGAGGACAAACATACATCTGATCTTTGACTGTATATTGTCGTTCTCTTGGTTTTTCTGACGTTCTATACCGAAGGCATAGGAGATTTCCGATATAGACAGCCATTATAGATGAGGATTGGGATTGTATGCTGTATGTTGTAGCATATGTTAATACTTAGTACTTGGGGTATAGATAGATGCTTTATTGATCCCTGTAGGAGAAATTCAGGTGTCCAGTAGCAGCAAAAAACCATCCAACCACATGAACAACACAAATAAATTGATTCCTCTAAAAAGCTAACATTAGTAATCACAGTAATCACTTAATTTGTATTGATATTGGTATTAATACTGGACCCCAGTTTGTTGAGAACCCCATGACATCCAATTTCTTCCCGTAATCCATTTCTGGGTCGGGGGGGGTGGCAGTCAGAGCTGCACCCAGTACACTTAGCACCAGCCCCTCACTGATCCTCCTGCAGGTGGTAAGTCCAAAGGAGCTGAAATCTTTCAGTGGGGGCTTCGGGCACAGTAGGGTTAAGTGTCTTGCCCAAGGACACAACGCCATCAGTCATCAGTGGGAGTCGTGAAGTAGGTCTTATGGTGGTCTCGAACCCACGACCTTCAGGCTCAAATGCCAATGCTCTACCAACTGAGCCACTGTCACCCGCACAATTACTGTTTCAACATAATTTGTATTGATATTGGTATTTATGGTGGATCCCAGTTTGTTGAGAACCCCATGACATATCATAATCATTTATCATGTATTTGCTCCACAATAACATGTGGGAGAATCATCAGACGGAGCAGAGCGGAGTTTTCCGGACTGTGTTAGCTGACCTTCACTGGTTGGAAGGGTGGAGCGCCTTTCTAATAAATGATCACACGTGTCATTCCGTTAGCGAGCGCGGCCCATTACTCTCCACATCTCCAAAGGTCGCTTGTCAGGGAAATGTTAACTTAAATGTTCAGACTCTAAAAGCAATTGACTCGGAAGTCCTGTTCGTATTACAGTTATTTTTCTTTTATGGCGTTTTCATGTCGCAGACCTGGTGTTTAAGCCTCTGACCAAATGGAATGTCGACATCAGACACTTATGATTAGCAAGTTGTTTGGACCTGCGTCGGCTTTTTGAAACGGGGAAGAGGGAAATGTGTAAAACGAAAGAGTGACAACAAGCTTCCAACTTTCAAAATCAGTCTGGACTGACTTGAGCACCCAGGATCGGAGGGAATCATATCATGTTAGAATATTGTAAGCTGTGTCCTGCGTATGTTTTACAAGGACAACTTCATAAAGGAAAGTGCAGTACAAAGTTTGATGGGAAGGACTTGGAACATGGAACTACGGCTTGTTACCACCAATTTACACTGACATACAGAGACGAGCAGATTAAGTCCAAAAGTAGATTTTCATCGTAACGAGCCAGACAATTCACATCAGCAGTGAAATTACGTTAAGTGGCACTTTGAGTACGATAGATGTATATTATTGTCCATGTTCACATAATGCGTACTGGCTTATCTCTTGGGGAAGACAATCAAAATGTGCAGGTTACGGGTTTTTCATGATTACGCAGCAGTGTCCCTCATGTGTTTTATAACCTTTACCTAACACACGTAAGCTACAGGCTGTAAGGATGGACACGCTGCTGCAGAAAGTCCTGATTGCAGTCTGGGTGAAGCTAAAAATAACAAGCGAACAATGAAAAAACGTTGTCTTTGTTTTTTATGAGTTTTAAGCATGCAAGAGTAGACAGTAGGTTTTAAAGATGTTTTTTTTCCAAATGAAGTTATTCTTTGCAAATAGTCATAAGAAATCCTTTTACCACAATGCACTTTCACATACAGTATAGCCTTGGGCACAGCGCAACTTTGTTCAACGCTTTTCCAGTCTTATGTACCGCATGAAGACAAACCTATTCTTGTATTAGCCTTCCCTGGAGTTATTTCTCTCTCCCGACCAAAGACTAGATTGAAGGGCATTTGATTTCACTGCAACGATCAGAAACAGCCTCATGATCGATACTCTCCACATTTATCTATTTATCCTCCTCAAGGATTCCCATTCCGTTAGATATTTCACCAGCTCAACTTTTCTCTTCTTTTTTTATCGCTACCCAATCTCTAAAGAAGGTCAAAGGAACTGCTTCTCTTTAAAGCAGCTCTGTTGAATTATGTCTCCTGACCGCGTTGTCTGAAACACTTAAGGCCGAACCATTTCCAGTTGGCAGGCGCCCAAAGCTGCTATCATGATAGCGCTGGAATTATATGGAAGAAAAGGCTTCGGCTGGGCTTGGCACCGGCCGGCGTGTTGATGGTAATTGTTGGGAGGCTGTAAAGAGTAAACAGCGGGGACCATAAATAATAAACCAAATAGCAGCTGGGTGGGGGTGGGCCTCAGTCTGAACTCTGCCAAAAATCTTAAAATGTTGGTAGATTGCGATTATCGATAGCTGAAAGGAGATCCACAGCAACAGTTTAAAGCAACCTGTAACTCGTCAGTCCCTTTCCGGTAGCTCCCTTAAGGATCTAGAATTGGACACATGATTCTGAGTTATTACATTTTGAGTCAATACATATCTATTTTATGTATAAATGTAGGGTTAAACAGTATTATGGTGCATTGTACATGTGTGTTCTCCATGTTTTGCCATTGTCATTGTATAGACTTTTATTGTGACGGCAAAAAAGAGTAACTGCTCGCCACTTCTGTTGTATAAAATACAATACATTACAATCCAATTTATTCTTGTATAGCCCTAAATCCCAACAGTAGTCATCTCAGAGGACTCAAAAAATTTAGCTTTCTGATTGAAAAAGGCTGGTGACCCGTTGTGTGTAGAGGGTTAAACTGACTCATTATGATTACAAAATAAAAATAAAGACAGGCAGCATGAGATTTTAGCTCCTTCACTAACACAGGAGAAACTCTGAAAGGTTGTTGAAAAGCCAATGTCTGTAATTTAAGTAAAAATGTGATGCTAATACATGCTTACAGTAAGCTTATGTTTATGATTATGGCTTGCAGTCCATTATATTCTAATCTCTCGGAGGTTTTATTTTGGGGTTTTACTGTGAGCCATTTATCATTATTACTATAAAAGGCAGGATAAAGCTCACCCTGCGTGTAAAGAGTCTGTCACATTGTAAGTTGAATTACTGAAGACATGGGACTTTCGAGCGTCCAGAGTTTCACCTGTATGTGTCCTCGGCATTCCCTGAGATTGGATTAAATGTCTATAGGAGGATTTTCCACTTCCGGGTGGATCATCAAGACTATTGGTCCTCCTAATTGTCAATCATTCTGGGGATACATGCTCGTCAAATAAGACCAGAGAGTGTTGTTCAAAAAGTGGAGAGGGCGGTTCTTTCCAAACAATTGGGAAAATCCTCCTATATACCTTTAGATATAAGGAACAGGTAAATAAGTTTGGCTATAGGCTATTTTTTTTTTTTTTTTCATTGAGGTAAAAAAAAATCTAGAGCCTCATTTGAAAACTAATTATAGACCCAAATTATTGTGACAGCTCCAAACTTGTACATTTTTTTCCTTGTTTGTGGTTTCAAAGTTAGGTGCTCCTGCTTTAAGATGTTTAAAACTCTAGATGTTACTATGTGTAAATATCATTGACCCTGGAGACAAATTACATTGAACAGACAAAAAGCATTGAGCGGTAAACAGTTTTTGGACAGGCGCATTCTGAGGCTCGGACTTTTTTTTCTACAATAAACTATGAAAAACTTGGAATTTGTTTATGAATGTTCAATAATAATAACAACTCAAGCGCACATACACATGAGCAAATAGTTTGTTGGAATGTGTGTTGATATTCTTGTGTGTGTTGTGCAGAGACGCTGAGGTTGGCGGTCATCATCGGCGTGGCGGTGGGGGCCTTCCTGGCTCTGTCCATCCTGCTGGGGACTCTGGGGGCCTTCTGCTGCACCCGCTTTCAGAGAAGTAAGCTCTGCTCCTGGTTTTGTATTTTCCCAGAACTGCAGTTGAAGCAATCATTTTACTTACTGCAACTGCAAGGGAAAAGCTCAACCAGTCTCTGTCAAATAAATATCTAAAAATGATTAAATAACTGCTCTTATTTTGTGCTTTTGGCTTACTCGATTGTTATATTAAAATTCAGAAACCTCCACACAAAACCGTTTCTCTCTTACGTTGACCTTTCAAACCAGAAAAAGCCTGGTATTTTAACTCTGCGCTTAAATATTCCACAACTCATTCAATTCCATAGTTTTGACGCGATGCATTTTCATACATTTATCATTTTCTGCACCAAAAACAGTTCAAATTCAATCTTGCTTTTACTGAAACATTTAACCTCTCCAGCCTGCGCACGGTTGGCAAACTCTATGTATTTGCATGGTCAATTTTGCAGAATCAAAGGTTACAGCACCGGCACTGAAAGAAAAATCCATAATATTGATCCATTACGCTGTTCCGAGTGCTCTTCATGAGAAGTGTGTTATTTATTTAGCTATCTTTTCAGAGCGCTCTGGCCTTGGTTCTGTCTCCAGTTATGCAGTTGTGGAGTTATTTGGTCGAGGGGGGGAGTAACAGTAATATGTGCTGTGTTGCAGAAGATGTCCACCTGGTGATGTCATCGCTGCCCGTGACCCTGTCCCGCCAGAGAGACGGCAAAACAGAGAGTGAGTGAAAGTGGAAAAACATGTGTACTGTGGGGCTATGAGCATTGTACTTGTCTTGGAATCTTTAAACTAGGAAACTGCAAAAAACCATCATGTAACTGTAGTTCCTCGCTTTGAAAACAGTTTGGTTCTATCACCAGTTTTCACATGCAGGTTTTTGGCCTCTGTCGCATCTTTAAGAGCTTTAAGAAAAGATAGAAAAGTGAAAAAGAGAGGACCACCCTCACTACAGTTCTCACTCTGTAAAAGATACAATGTTTTTCTAATAAGCTAAGTTTGTTCACAAAAATAAGCAATTTGTTCACAAAACGCTACAAGATTCTTTCTGTTGGATGCAGCCATGGTGGTGGAAATTCTGTTTGAGAATAGAGATCAATATTGGGATGGAATGTCCATGGTTCGATCATAAACTATCATGGAATGACATAGCCCTGAGGCAAAAATCAAAAGCTTGAAAATATTGCAATCTCGACTCTTCTCAATCTCTATTATTGATATGTGCATTCAAATCTAGAGGCTTAGAATGATGAGGAGGACTATCTTACTTCTTCCTTTTCATTTCTCTTTTCTCAATGTATGGCTAAAGAAGGGCTGAACTGTACGTGTTCTGGATCCACCGCCCCCGCACCGACTCCACAGTTTTTAAAAAAATGTAACAAACAGTAAAACTTTGAAATGTCACAATCATTTCTACTGGACTTTATTTTCTCTTTTGCTATTTCAACATTCGCACACGCCGGAGTCTTTCTGGACGTAAAAGAAATCTGACAAGAGCAGAGGCGGAACCACAGCCCTGCCGCTGTCTGGATCCGGGCCAAAGCCGAGGATATTCTCTCTATGAAAGCTGGCAGCAACAAGGGAAATATGCAAAAAAGCGCACCTTGATATGTATTAGCTGCATGGGCCAAAACAGAAAGAGAAAAATTATTCTTTGCTTGCAGTTTGGGCTCTTCTGATTTTTGGAACGATCACTGCGTTTACAGGATATAGGAAGAGAATATGATCTAATCCTTACACAAGCGGACTCATTCTGGCTTTTCTCATAAACTGATACTCTTGTCTCAGTATACATGCAGACTCAGTCCACTCTTGTCTCAGTATACATGCAGACTCAGACCTCTCCTGTCTCAGTATACACAGACTCAGTCCACTCCTGTCTCAGTATACATGCAGACTCAGTCCACTCTTGTCTCAGTATACACAGACTCAGTCCACTCCTGTCTCAGTATACACAGACTCAGACCTCTCCTGTCTCAGTATACACAGACTCAGTCCACTCCTGTCTCAGTATACATGCAGACTCAGTCCACTCCTGTCTCAGTATACATGCAGACTCAGTCCACTCCTGTCTCAGTATACATGCAGACTCAGTCCACTCTTGTCTCAGTATACATGCAGACTCAGTCCACTCTTGTCTCAGTATACATGCAGACTCAGTCCACTCTTGTCTCAGTATACATGCAGACTCAGTCCACTCTTGTCTCAGTATACATGCAGACTCAGTCCACTCTTGTCTCAGTATACATGCAGACTCAGTCCACTCTTGTCTCAGTATACATGCAGACTCAGTCCACTCTTGTCTCAGTATACATGCAGACTCAGTCCTCTCTTGTCTCAGTATACATGCAGACTCAGTCCACTCCTGTCTCAGTATACATGCAGACTCAGTCCACTCCTGTCTCAGTATACATGCAGACTCAGTCCACTCTTGTCTCAGTATACATGCAGACTCAGTCCACTCTTGTCTCAGTATACATGCAGACTCAGTCCACTCTTGTCTCAGTATACATGCAGACTCAGTCCACTCTTGTCTCAGTATACATGCAGACTCAGTCCACTCTTGTCTCAGTATACATGCAGACTCAGACCACTCTCATCACTTGCCAAAAACAAATTCAGAAAGTGGTTTAACTGTGTATTGTTCAGTGATTTTTTTTTTTTATAACAATGAGCTATATCAGCCCAGATTTAGTTGTTCAAATAGAACTTAGCTGCTAGCATTATTGGCAGAACATACTGTATTCAGCTCTGCAGGTAATTTGTATCTTTGAGACTTTAGTTTAACATTAGTTTATGCATCACTTTTCCAGGGTTAGCACTGACATTTACTTTGCCAAAAACACGGTAAAGTTGGTTTCCAAATGTTGCGTAGGTGTAGACAAATCTATGGAGACTTTTAAAAGACAGACAAAGTTTACCTGTAAAATAGATGTTACTGAAAAAGACTATTGAATATTTAGTGCTGCAGTATTAGCATAAATACAGAACATCTCACACACTTCCAAGTCAGGGTTCAGCTGTAAGAAGATTTTTTGAATTTGACCTGTTTGCTCATCACAAATGCAAAAAAAAGGATTTGCATTTAAGCATAACACTCAGGCAGACAATGTTGGTTCTATTTAATTTGTTGTGTAAATGCACAGTTTGTCGTGAACATTCGATTTTTGAGGTCTGACATTATCAGGCTTTTAACAAGCAGGTTCACATGTTTCAGGTTTGTACTGTAAGAAGCCATTGCTCTCCCCTCAGTCTTCTGATCACAGCCTTCAAACCCCTTCCCTGGGTTTTTACTCTTTGCTATTTTTCTTTTCTGAACCCATGATACATCTTGGACTCACCTGCCTTCCGTCATTTTTACTCAAAGGAAAAATATAGCATTGCTACTTGGTTGCACTGAACAAGCCATTTTCAGACTTGAAAGATAAAATTGTACATGGGAGTTGTGTTAAGTACAGCCTGTCTATTGCCGGAGAATTAGTAAAAAACAGTAAATGACAGAGCTTCTCGAGGTGTGGGCAGCACCACAGCTCTCAATAACCACCCTGTGCTAATGACTGATGTGACTCTGAAAAGAGAAGCCTTGAAAATGTATAATTACCAAAGATTACATCAGATAATAACAGAGCATTTATGTGAACATGCTTATAATAAAACCAGCAGAGAAACGATTCAAGGTTGTATGCATCTCTGCCTGCTCAGCATTTTCATAGATTTTATGCCAACCTGCTCAAATAGTGCGAGGGACACAGGTAGATGGTGCTTCATAGTGACGGAAGCTGCCAATAGCGTGGCATTGATCGGCTTGTTGGTGAGCGCGAGGCTGACATTGGGGGTGGCATGTTGTCGATCGGACGTGTGGCCAGTTTGCACTTGAATGAGGGGCAGGGTCTATACGACAGGCTTGTTCCAGCAGCTAGAACGGACCTTAGTGCTGACAAATCAATTGTGTTTCCTCTGGAAATATAATTTGTGGTTATGTGGATAGGGTTTACTGCAGCATACGTGCGAGGGACGGTAATACAGGCTTGCTCTATAGTTTTTAACATTGTGTGTCGTGTGCATGCATTATAGAAGCTGGAGAACATCTTGGTTTTATATATACATTTTGTTTGTGCCAAAAAACTTTAATTTTGTAAACAAATCAGACAAACCATGTTGTCTTTATCATATTAGTAAAAATGAAAAAAAAATGTAGGTACTGAGAGTTGAGGAAAGGTGGTCCTTTTTCTTTCCACTAAAGAAGCTGATTTAAAGATGTGACAAAGGCCAAAACTAGTGATGGAACTTTACATAATTTTCTATGTGCTCCATCTTTATAATATCCATCCATCCATCCATTTTCTTCCCTTTAATCCATTTCTGGGTCAGGGGGGTGGCAGTCAGAGAGGCCACCCAAGTCTCATAGCACCAGCCCCTCACTGACCCTCTGCAGGTGGTGAGTCCACAGGAGGACGGCTGCTCTCTGACTGTGAGCATAGCCTTGATCTTTCAGTGGGGGCTTTGGGCAAAGTGGGGTTAAGTGTCTTGCCCAAGGACACAACGACAGCAGTCATCAGTGGGAGTCGGTGGAGAAGGTGCAGAGGTGGGAATTGAACCCACGACCTTCTGGGCTTAAGGCCAATGCTCTACCAACTGAGCTACTGTCGCCCCATCTTTATAATAATTGTAAATAAATAAGTCTACATATGATGCTGGTTCCAAGTTTCCATCCATCCATTTCTTCTGCTTTATTGTGTTGCAAGGTGGTCAATCTTGGCCACCTGAGAGATGGTCTCACCGGTGTGTGTCCTGGTCTTCCTTCCCCTGGGTCTCCTTCCATTTGTTTTGTTGTATTTTTCCTAAAATTGCAGGGTGCCCCTGGCTAGCTCGCCACTTTGCGTAACGCTGTCCCAAGCCAAACGTATATATTTATAAAAAAGCAGCCAATATTAGTTGTAGCAAAACAATGAAACTCCAACAAAGGGCATCTTGTAAAGCCTTTCACATATAGCAGCATAAAGTTTAAAAGAAAAGTGTAAAACTGTGAAAAAGTCAATGGTGTGGGATAACATTTTCTGACACTTAACTAATTCCATGTAAACTCTCTTAATCTTTGTCAATCGACCCTCCTCCTCCTCTCCTGACCTCAGCTCACATTGTCCGCTCTCCTCTGAACTCCTTTAGTCATCTCAGCCTCTGATCACGATCGATATAGCAGCAATCTTTTATGACCACAGCTGTGTGTAGGCCTTCCCAGAGCGTGCATATACAATAAAACACAATATGGACTACAGAAAGCGATCCCCAGCGCACTGCAACTCACCCGGTTTGAACAAGTTAATCTTACGCTACGAGGCCCGGGCTCAACAACGTGCAAATAAGACAAAAACAGAACCAGCTTTGAACACGTCAAGCTCAATCCTGGACAGTCCTTTCATTTTGATCTGAGATGAGTCGGTTGCAAAACGTCTTACTCTTTATTTAAGAATGACAATGACAGACCGGAGGAATGAGAGTTTTCTGACTGCAGTGTCATCTTTATCTTAATTTTCACAAGAGCTGGGTATCTGTCTGAGTCTAAAATATTTTCCTAAACCATTTTATACAATTTAGAAAAAGTCAAAGTCAAGACCAAAGTCACATTGGTCTTGTGAAATCAATAAACAAAAATAAAATCAAGTTAATTCATGATATATGCAAGACAAGTTTGTATAGCACATTTCATACACAAGGTAACTCAAAGTGCTGAACAAAATAAGAAAGCATTAAAATCATAAATAATCACAGTACATTAAAAAGAAAGATACAAATATAAAATCCCTCAGTTGTATGCTTAGCTAAACAGAACTGTTTTTAACCTGGTTTTAAACATTGTCAGAGAGGAGGCCTGTCTCACACTTTCATGAAGTGTAAGACAAATTTTAGCAGCATGAATCTGAAATGCAGCCTCCCCATTATTAGTTCTGACTCTGGGCACTAACAGGAGTCCAGTCCCTGTGCTCCTCAGAGTCCGGGCTGGTTCATATGGGACTAACATGTCACTAATATATTTTGGTGCGAGGCCATGGAGAGACTTGTACACAAGCAGAGCTGATTTATAGTCTCATTACCTGCAAAGTGTCATATTCTAAGTAATTATCTTGGAGGATTATGGTTTACAGTCCATTAAAATATCTCAAAATATTCTAATTGTTTGAGACATTGTAACTGTTTCTTTTTCTTTACAGCTTTGAACCATAATTATCATCAACAAATAACAGCTTGATAAAAATAAAACACATTCTTCTTCATTCCTGATGCCCCAAAATGAAACTCGTTAAAACTCATATAAATAGTTTTGGCTTGAAATACAGTAAACCCCAATAGTATTCTCCGACTTTTCTTTTTTTTCCTTATCATACCTCCAGAAGAACCCCACCTCTCACCAGTCGAGCTCGTAAAGAACTGAAGGCAGACAACTTTTCTTTGACACGTTAAAAGAATACGAGGTTAGCTTTTAAGTGCCGACTTTGCAGCGTGTTGTAATCAAACAGGAGTCCCCTGGCGGAGCAGCTGCGAGGGCTGGGTAAAGCCGTGCTGGGTAGAGCCGTGAACAACAACGGCGAAGGCGAGATGAAACGACGGTCCCGCAGACGGCACACCCAAATCTCCAGGCGGGACTTTTATGTCGAAGCGTAAAAAAATGTGGAAGATACAAAAGATGCAGCAGCAGATCTGACTGTATGTTAATATGAGTGGTCTCCATAGCAACGTGCCAGAGAGTCCAGCCTCTACACAATATGGGAAAAATCATACGGATGCGATGAAATGGGACTGTGTTAAAGTTTTTAGGTGTTGCAAAATCTGAATAATGCAGGGGCCTTTATTTTTGAGTTTTTCTCATCGGATACATACAGGATTTGTTTATTTCCCGTCAACCAGGGTAATACGAGAACTTTTATACCCTGGGAACTGGCACAAACACGTTTACCCACCACCCCAATGTCTGAACTCTGAACATTGTAAAGCACTTTGGGTGGCCTTGGTCTGTAAAAATGTGCTATATATACAACTATTCTATACCGTTGTCCTTCCTATGTAATATTTTCCAAATCTTAACTCCTCTCGGCGCCTCTTCTCTTCTTTGCAGACCTGAAAAGTTCCACGACAACAAAAAACGACATCCGTGTGGAGATCGTGCACAAGGACCACAGCGCGGCCCGGGAGAACGAGGAGCACGCCAACATGAAGCAGATGATGGTAGGATCTTCCAGAACCACTTGTGATCATCCATCCATCCATTTTCTTCCCCTTAATCCATTTCTGGGTCGGGGGGGTGGCAGTCAGAGCTGCATCCAGTGCACAGAGCACCTGCCCCTCACTGATCCTCCTGCAGGTGGCGAGTCCACAGGAGGATTGCTGCTCTGTGGCATAGCCTTGGTCTTTCTGCAGGGTTACGTGTCTTGCCCAAGGACACAACGGCAGCAGGCATCAGTGGGAGTCGTTGGAGGTCTCGGCTTGAACCCACGACCTCCAGGCTCACAGGCCAATGCTCTACCAACTGAGCCAATGTCGCTTTGTCATCAATTTGACAATAATGCACATTCATTTTACACTTTTACTTTATGAAAAGAAAACGTTTCCCACCGTTGTCCCGGGCACGCCTGTTCAACCCAGGTCAAAAATCATTCCTATAGCTTCATCTAATGCTGCTTGGAGTCTGCAATGAACTCTCTGGATTTCAGTCATCACCATGGAGTTTTTTTTTCTGGTCTTAGGACATTTCTTCAACTGTTCCATTCTAAGCTTTCCTCAGAATCCTGGGCGAGTGACGAGCTCTCTCTCCCTCCACTCTCGCACCAATCATGTTTCCTGATTGTGGATCCTGTGTGTGTTCTGCAGATTGACCGCGGCGAGTTCCAGCAGGAGCCGGTCCTCAAACAGCTGGAGGTGCTCCCGGAGGAGGAGAAGGAGTTCCAACACATCAAGGTAACTTTAGCAACACACAGGGAAGTGACACACAACGATCTAAGGCCAGCCACAAAATGTATATGTTCTGAGAGCGTTTGTGGTACAGTTTGGTGATTGCACTGTTGGGTTTGAAGTAAGAAATACATTATGATATGCAGTTATGAAACCTGCTGCATTTAAAGATGTAAGGATATGACTTTCAAGGTTGTTTGGGGCAAAATAGCTATTTCTGTCGTGATGTTGGAGGTGGTTGCAGTATTTCTTTGCTTAGGATGTTCTTCTGTACAAATTGTTTACATTTTTGAATGACTTTTTTTTATTTCGCTCATATACTTTGGGGTTTTTACACCAGCTCTCTTCTCTGTTGATATAACTTGTAGTTTAGCCTGTTGAAGTCCTTTTAGATTGAACCAAGCAGAAAGGAGACTGGAGAGAGGAGACACCAATGTATTTAGACCAATATTAGAATAGTTTTATAATTAAATAATAATAAATATATATATATATATATATATATATATATATATATATATATATATATATATATATATATATATATATATATATATATAACAGTATGAGGTGTAAAATTATTAGCTTTATATGAATTTACTAGTGCTGTCCAAAATATCGCGTTATTAACGCGTTAACGCAAATCAATATTAACGGCGTCATTTTTTTTATCGCGCGATTAAAAAAAAAAAAATCTTTTTTTATTTTTTTTTATTACTTTTTATTGCAGACAAACACATATACAGAAAAAAAATAGAAACAAAGAAAAGGACTACTTCAGATACATTGTAGACAGAGATTACAAACAATATGTACAGTAGTTGGAGATACAGGGGGCCAAAGAAGAAACCCAGAAGGGCACATAGGAGGGGGGCATGAAGTGGGAGATGGGGGGGAGGGGTTAATTAAAAAGGCAATACAAACAAACAGTATACAGTCATAGATATACCTAAAGTAAACAGAGAAACAGCATAGAGTATTTACATGAACAAATTTACAAAATATTTACAGATTATTTATCATCATCATAATGACACCATGATGTTTCTATACAGTCTATGGTCTATACCCACACATACACACACACACCGACACCCATAAACACACGCACTCCACACACACACACACATACACCCCACAGATAAGATATAAAGTCTGCCCGCCTGAGTTTCACCAAGCTAAGCGGAACCCAGCCAACATCAAAACCAAATCCGACACACACACAGACCCCCAAGCAGGCCCCCACCCCAAAAAGGGGGGGAGGGAGCCCACGCCCGGCCCATTCCCTCTCTTATTTTGTTCCTTTTTCCCAAGTGTTTTTCTTAACTAAACGTGTCATGCATTAAAATAAGCTTTCGCTTACCCTGACTTGTGTATTATCATTATATGCACATATGCACATATTATTCATGTTATTATATTTATCTACTTATTCATTCTTTTTTTTTTATTATTATAATTATTATTATTATTTTTTTATTATTTTTATTTTATTTTAATTAATTCAAGGGACATAAAGAATAGATACAAATGTGTGACTAATTTGCGATTAATCGCGAGTTAACTATGAAATTCATGTGATTAATCGCGATTAAATATTTTAATCGTTGGACAGCACTAAAATTTACACAAACTTATTGCTGCAACTAACTGTTATTTTGATAATTACTCCATCTAGCTATTATCATTTGTTGTTTAAAAGGCTGGTATAATTTTTTTTATTTTATTTTATATAAGACACGGCTGAAGTGAAACCCATGGAAGACACTCAAATAAAAAATGGCATAAAAAACAAGACATTTTTACAATTTTGTTTTATTTTTATTGAAATTCCAACTCTGTGTCTCAAAGTCACGTTTCACAATCTTTACACAAGTTTGAGTCTGTACACGACAAGATAAAGTGTTTTGTCTCTGACAGGATATGTGTCTTACTCTCACTGCCCTCAGCTGCAAAAACAGTTCAACAAACATTCATTCAAACAACAGACAACCACAGTTTGTACCATAACGATTCATCCACCACTAAAATTGTAGATTTTTTTTTCTTGTCAGATTCGCTCGAAATAATGAATAAAATGTATAATTGAATGACATAAATACTGGAACCAGACCATAAACATAACCACATCACTATTCAGATTCAGATTCATTTATTTGCCATTTGCAGTAAAACCCCATTGGAATACATGTGCAAAAATCCCCAGTGTGCACCAGACATGTACATACAGTACATAAAACAAGGTAAAAAGTAAAGAAATAAAACCAGGCCATGTTCCAGCTTCTTCCCACAGGCAGAAGATATCGTTCATAAACCGCAACCGAGACTAAATTATGAACTAATAATAATAATAACTGGTAAGACATTTGTGCTGATATAGAATCTATTAAGTAATAGAAAGAGCCCGTACCAAGTGGCTACAGGACCTTAAGTGCCACATAACCGGCGCCGCCCTTCCTGGTGGATAATTGGCTTTTACCGCCGTCATCACAGTACATATACACCGGTAAATCGGGCGTAATGAAGCTTTACCTCCTGCATAATCAAATTAACCCCAGTGCCGAGTGCTGTAGGCTCCGGGGACGGACACAGGGAGATGGATTACGGTGTCTCTGGTCATTCTCGTTCTGAACCCGCTGGGGAAGAGAGAGAGAGATAGAGAGAGCAGGAGAAAGTAAGTGGCTGGTTCTTAATACAATTTTGCGTTAGTTCAATAAACGCTTCAACGTGATGATTTTTCAAGCCCTGCCTTCCGGTCAGGATTGTCACGTGGAACACTTTAACACGCTGGGAATGCGGTGAAAGTGGAAAGAGGGAGAGATGAAAGTCATTAGTCCTGGAAAGAACAAAAGATGTGATTTATCCAGAGCGCGCTTAAGGCAAATTACATCATTATCTGATTCTTTAGGCAAGTTTTTTCTGATATTTGATGTGCAATAGATCCAGTGTAAAACTATAGAAGAGATTGAGGACAAATAATATCAGAAATAAATAAATAGAAATCAATTCATTAAAACGATTAGGAAGAAAGCTTTATGTTCATGATAAGAAAGGTTTCTGTGGCCTAAAGGGTTAAATTACAGTTATGTACATGTAATAATGGTCATTTTCAAATAAATACTTTTTTTCTTGCACTATAATTTTTTGGCCATTTTTTTTTAACTACAAAAACAAATGAAATAGAAATAATGACATTCCTTCACTACTCTGACAAAAGCCATCTTCACCAACAAGTGTGAAGTATAAGTCTAGTGGTAGGAGTGGGTACATACTGCAGTTTCTAAGATCATCTGAAATGTACAATTTTAATTTGTTGGCCATACTTTTATAAGGAGATGTTCAAAACATCTTCTTACTCCTGAGCATTTACCAGTTAGTTATCAGATAAAATGTTATTCAATGTAAAAAATAAAAATAAAGAAAATAATCACTCCTCCTTCTGGTGGCCACATAAGGAGTTTCAGGCTGAAAGCATTGTTTACCCTTTTTTGTTTACCCACCATGTATATCATTGACTTATTTTCTTTTCAACTACAGTATTTCACATTCTAAAAAAGGAAATGACAAAGTAAATAGTTGAATAGTTGTTCCATTCTCTATGGTCACAAATAATGTGTGAATTGTATTCTTTAAAAGACTAAAAAAAACAGTTCTGTCCATGACGTCATAGTCTGAGGAATCATCATTATGAAACAAGTTGGGAAAAAAGGCATTTAGACAGAAGGGGCGGGGGGAGGGGTTTGTGTCAGTGTGTGGGTTTATGCTGGAAGTTCCTGATATCAGTGTGGATGGGAATAAAAACAACTCTAGGTGGATTTTTGAGAGAATAATGTTGGAACAAGGTTGAAAACTCCAAGTAGCGCTTTGTGTGTGTGTGTATGTGAAATGTGTATGTGTATATGCCATCTCTCCAGTATACAGTTTATATACATCCAGAATATATATAGTATAGTTTTTATTACAAATGGGATTACGGAGATTCATTTTTCCACTTTGTTCGTTTGAAAATCACAGGAGTACGTGACATGACAAATCCATTGCCAGCGATGATGAACGACACCGCTGATTGCCAAGGCGCCGCATTATGATTTTTGGCGCCGCGTTCTCTGAGGTCACTGCTTTTTCCCCCCATTTTGTTATTCGCCGATCAATGAGCCGCCCCCACGTCCGCTGCCACATGCAGTCGCTCGGCCAAGTCCCTGTCTGTGCTGCCGCCGCTGTCATGTGACTCTGGGCTGTTACTGAGAGCACTTAAGGAATGAGCCGGTGATGTCTGCTTCTGTTCGTCGCACAAAGACTTTTCTGTGTTTAAGTTGCGTTTTCATTTTAGTGCAAGTCTCAGAAAGAACGATCTCTATTGTGACTTTTTGTGTTCTGAGTGATCTTTAGCAGTTTTATTTTCTGGAATTTCTTTAATTACTTTTTTTTTTTTGAGAAAGAAACAATATTGCTAATAAAAAAGTTATTATTTTCTGTGTGGAGTTTGCATGTTCTCCCTGTGTCTGCGCAGGTTTCCCTTAGAATCTCCGGAGGTATCATAAAAAAAACATGCACAATAGTCCTCCATAACACCCTCCCCAGCCCCACTCCTGCCCCCTCTCTCTGGGGCCAGGACTCCCCTGAAAGAGATTCTGAAATCTCAGTGGGACTTTTCTGGTTAAATCAAGGTCAATACCAAAACCTATGTATTTGACAAAAAGGAAAAATAAAGAAACACAAAACAATTTTATTTACTGTATATACAAGCACATAGACACACAGATACACACATGTACAGTAGGGAAAAACAGTATTTAGTCTGCCACCAATTGTGTTCTTCCACTTGAAAAGATGAGGGAGGCCTGTAATATTCATAAGTATACCTCAAGAGTCAGAATGAGGAAAAAATTCAGAAAAATTATTTCTGATTTTTAAATAATTCATCTGCTAATTATGGTGGAAAAAAGGTATTTTTTTCATCTGTTTACTTGGGAGAAGTTGCACAATTAGTGGATGACTAAATACTTTTTTGCCCCACTGTATGTTTACGGTCAGAAAACAGAAGTAATGGCAATAAACAGCAGTAGTAGCAGTATTTACACTGTGTTTATGCCATGATTTATTTCAAGCTGTAATTGATCATTATTTAATCGCTGATTAATCGCTGAGCTGCTTAGAACATAAACGTGATCATTTATCTGGATGAAGCTGAAGGGAAGCCACCGGAGCACATCCGGATAAACTCAATTAGTAGAAAAAGAAAGTGTTGCTCTGTTTGAGACGGTGAGGAGCAGCATCTCGTCTGCATCTGACTCTCTGACAAAGTCTTTACAAAGGCACTTCTGCTTTTGACACATGATGCGCTGTAGTACGGATTACTGATGCAATCCACCTGCTGGAGTTTAGCTAGAAATGGGACAAACTCAGCATGTTACAGATTACTCCATTTATGTATCTGCTTTCATTTATACAAATGTGTGATGCTTTTTTTGGGTGAATTTTGGGATCACAAACAAAAATGAAGAACAAAAATGCTTAAGAAACTGGAAAGTGAAAGAGATGTTGCTCTCGGATTGGATAATCTGCTTGAAAAAGGCCAAGTATAATTTGTACATGTTGACCTGTTATCTGGAGTCACATATAAAAAGATGTAGATTAATCATTTGAAGGTTGAAGCTCTAGATTTTTATTATTTTAAAGCTAAATTGTGCAAATCTGTTACCAAAGTGGATGAAAATGGTTGTCTGACTTGCACTTTGTGTTTTAATTTATAAGTCAAAGAAAAAATCTTTAAGTACCAAAGTACGTATCATAGATTATGGGGGAGAGGTTGTGCAAACTGAAGTAGGAAAAACATGAAGAAATAACTGAAAATACAACTTTGTGAGATTAACCGAGAAGGGAAACAATTATGTGATTATTAAAAGTCATGTTTGCTCACTCTGTCCTCAGTAAAAGTGATTTCTGTTGTTTTACAAAATGCTGTTACTTTCATTCTGAAGTTCACGTGAGGTTCCAGATAGATCCCATGGTCTCATATTGCTGATACAGCGTTACACAGTGATTAGTGTGCAGCGTTTTCTCATATTTAGTGCATGGTCGCTATAATGCAATATGCAGTGAGAGACGTCGACATGTGACACAGATGTGATAGTGGCACACACTCAGGCTGCTGAAGGAGGCTGTGGCAGGTTTTCATCTCCACATTCTCTGCTGATGCTGATGTCTTACCTGAGACTGGGTTTTGTGGGGGTTTTTAAGTCTGTAACACCGTAAAGTATTGAGATAATTTGGAAGAATTACGTTTAGTGGCCATTAGAGAGAGAAGACAATCAGATTTGTGTTCCGCCATCAAGTTTTTACACTATTTCCTACTTTGCACCAGAATAGATAGTTTTAAAACTTGGATTCTGAGATAATTGTAATGAAAGAGCTTTGACAAAGTTTTAGATAAAAGTAGATTGAGTGTTTAATGTTGAATATTGTTCAAAATTGGCTTTTCAGTTGGGGTTTGGGGACAGCACAGAAACATGTGTTGAATGTGATTGTTTTGATTGAGTCCCCTTGTTGATAGATCTCCCTGTGTGCCCGCAGGACCCCACTAACGGCTACTACAGCGTCAACACCTTCAATGAGCACCACCCAACCCCCACCATGTCCCTGAGCACCAGCCAGACGCCTGACGTGGTCCGCAGCCCTCCCTCTGGCTCCATGACCATTGGCAAACAGAGAGTCCCCACCGGCATGTCCTTCACCAACATCTACAACACCCTGGGGGCCGGGCCCAACCGCCTGTACGACTACGGCCAGCGCTTCGTCCTGGGCATGGGCAGCAGCTCCATCGAACTGTGCGAGCGTGAGTTCCAGCGCAGCTCCCTCAGCGACTCCAGCTCCTTCATCGACACTCAGTGCGACAGCAGCGTGAGCAGCTACAGCAAACAGGACGGATACGTGCAGTTTGACAAGGACAGCAAGAACTCAGCCAGCTCCTCCTCCCACTACTCCCAGTCCTCGTCCCAGAACTCAGACCTGACCCGGCCCCTGCAGAAGCGCATGCAGACCCACGTCTAACAGCCCCCCCTCCCCCACGGACAGACTCACAGGGACAGTTTGGACAACCGCAACAAGAACTACTGCATCTCCACGAGCCAACGTCAAGAATACTCATGACAATCATTTGTCTGCTTTTGGCTTGGAACTGACAACAATAGTTTGGGTCTGACTGACTCACTCTGGACAGGACTGGATCCGGCTGAAATACTTTACTCCTGAGGAACCCATGGTCCAGGGACAGCAGTGATTGTGCAGAACTTTGTGCCACTGAACCCTTGTTCGTGATCCTGAAGCCATAAAGCCAGACCTCAATCATCATGACGACATGTACTGATGAGCAGAGCCATCTTCAAGTCCAGCTTCAGACCACTGCTGCTGTGCACCTCACACCTCAGCAGCTGCAGTCTCTGTACTTTACAGACTGCCTTTGACAAACACCGTATGGTGAGACTTAATGCTATGTTCCACCGAGAGGATCTAGCATCAGAAGGAACAGAAGACGTTTTGTATTTCTGTGGGAATCAACCGCCAACAAGCAGAGGATCCTTTTGATAAATATGTAAGCACCATGAGAGATGACTATTGTGTCTCACTAGCTCAACATCGGTTCCTTGACGAACTTCCCATTCGAACATAATGGGATTAATTTTTGTATTATGTGCTGTACATTACTTTTCGCTACTATTTTTTTGTGCAGTTCTTAAACGCTTCATGTGGAATGACTTTTCGGCATAGAAGATATGGGCATGCAATCTTGTGCATCGCCATCAAAGGCTTGTGACTTATGTTTTTGCGGACCTTCAGATGTTTACAAGGATGAGGAGCTGTCTTTCCCGTTTAATGTGACAGTCGTAGACTCTTGGAAGCTGCAGGAGTTCTCGTTTCCATACATTTCCTGCTGATATCGTTGCTGTTTACACTAGCGCTCTGTACAAGCATTTAATGTTGTGTACTTTTGACTACTGAATGAAAGAAAGTGGCATTCTCTCTTCGTCCCCATTCGAGTTCCATGCTTTCATTTGTTTTTACAGTTGACGCCCACTGTTTTAAGTGAGCCTTGAGTTGCGAACCGCTGTACTTTCGATGGGCCTTGACAATTAGCCACTCCAGAACACGCAAAGACAAGCAAACTCGTGTCCTATCTCAATTTGAAGGGAATTAAGATTAGCTGGATGGTTATGAGTGTCTGGGGTGGCATAATGGGCCATCCGTCAAAGCGAGCGGCGCATAAAACTGTCCTCAAACAAGCTCAGAACATCCAAAGGGCATTCAGCCGACACAGACCACAGACAACTCCAATATGATGCGGATCATTGTAAAGCAAGCACAAAAGTGGTACATTGAAAAGCTACTCGAGTTCTCTGAATGACTGGATAGCATGGGTTGATGTACTGTCATTTCTAAGCACTTATATGAGATGTATAAGGCTCACTTTTACGGTGTAATAAAAGGTCATCACGCCATCTCCATCGGGGCTTTTCCGGCGCGGACATCCATTCATTACTGTACAGACTAAAGGTTTTGTGCCAACATTGTGTTTTGAATAAAGAAAACGACAATTTACCTCAGAGTTGACTGTTTCCATATTTGTCTCTTTGCGATTGAGGTTGGGTTATGAGGGTGGGGTTCTGGATAGGTTTGGGTCAACAGCTTTTAAACAACATTGAACAGACCTGTAGGTGTTTTTATATGGCTAAAAACACATACTTTCAATCAGGACCATCAGGTACAAACATGTAACTTCGCCCCTTCTGTCTGAAAGCTCCTGTCTCAGTCCTCTAACAGTGACATGTCATTGTACCACTGTTGCCCATGGATTAGTCACAACAATTTTTCAGGTAAAATGGAATTATTTATAATTGCGTAGCTGGGTTTTCAGCTGGAAATGTTTGAATTTGGACTCGAGTTTGGAATCGCGTCCGTATGCGTCCCTCTGGTGGTCACACATGGAGTAACAGTTTGTAAGCATGGTTTACCATTCATACTTGTTTCACCATTTATTATCTACTTATGATATTTTAGTTTTTAGAAGTTGAAATAATGACAAAAAAAAGTCTAAAAAGGGCTAAAATAAATGTCACTCACTTGTTTCAAACTTGGTTCATTATTTCGCTTGTTTTTTTCTCACATAATTAGTATTCACAGGCATGAATGTTCATCCACTAGCACAACAGAACAGATTTTTTCACACACAAAAGAGAATCCAGGTGGATTACATCTGCAGCAGCCAATCGATTAGAAAAGTGAACCAAATAAAAGTACAAATGGAGTTTTCTGGAAGCGTTTCCGTTTTTTCAGAGTTCAGCGTGTCAGATTGTTATTTTGGTCTTCAAACCCCACAAGCTGTATATCATTTTAAAGCTTATTTTCTCGTCTACATTTTTATCAGGTGCAGGAAATACGAGACGTTACACAAAAAGGTATGAAGCATAATAAGGGCACAAAAACAAAGAATTCTCATTGCTTTTCTTCCTTTTGGACTTCTGCTCTGTCTGTAATATTGAAGTATTCCGTGCTTTCTTTGGCTCATTCATTCCAAAAATGTCCATGGAAAAGCAATATCCACTTTTCCAAATTTTTCCAAAATACCCACCTCTACACCTTCTCCACCGACTCCCACTGATGACTGCTGTCGTTGTGTCCTTGGGCAAGATACTTAACCCCACTTTGCCCAAAGCCCCCACTGAAAGATCAAGGCTATGCTCACACTCAGAGAGCAGCCGTCCTCCTGTGGACTCACCACCTGCAGAGGGTCAGTGAGGGGCTGGTGCTATGAGACTTGGGTGGCATCTCTGATTGCCACCCCCCTGACCCAGAAATGGATTAAAGGGTAGAAAATGGATGGAGCAATGGATTTCCAAAATATAGTCCAGTGACATTGACGGTTGCTCTGATGACGTTGTATGGGTAAACAGTCTATGATAATAGCTTTTTGACAAGGAGGGTTTATGCAGCATATAATACTAATACTGTACACTATAATAAAAATATAAGCTGTAATGAAATCATACAGGAAGGTAGCTTTCAAGTACCAAAACGTAAACATTTGTTTTTTATGGTGATGGATGGCCTATAATTTTAGTTAATGAGCACACAGTGGCACAAAGTTTGGCAAATAAAACCGAATGGCACTAGTTTATGTTAAACAGCATCAAAACTATAAAACCTAGAGAAACTTTAGACAGTCATTGCCAACTGAGCAATGACCATAGAGTTTGAATATTGTGAGCTTACAATGAGGTATGCCTTTGTTAGGGTTTTATAAATGTAATATTTTAGGCAAGGCTAAAAAAAAAAGTTTTTCAAGGGATGAGGAGTGTAATAGGAAGGACATACATTATTCTAATGTCTGTTTACAAAACTCGAAGACGCTAGCTTTAAAATGTGTAAGATCTTATGTAATTTTCTACCCCTTTATTAATCCATTTCCGGGGCAGGAGGGTGGCAATCAGAGCTCGCTGATCCTCCTGCAGGGGGTGGGTCCACGGGAAGATGGCTTCTCCGTCATCTACGAGATGGCCTTGGTCTTTCAGTGGGGGCTTCGGGCAATGTGGGGTAAAGTGTCTTGGCCAGGGACACAACGACAGCAGACATCAGTGGAAGCAGGTGACGTGGGTCGCGTTGGGCTCGAACCCACAACCATTAGGTCCAAAGACCAGTGCTCTACCAACTGAGCTTCTATGTGGGACACGTTTTAAAATACGCAAGACCCGACTTTTGTGCAGGAGCCAAAATGGGTGTTATGAGGATAATGAATGTGAAAGCATTGACATGGGACTTATTCAAACACACATTACACATGTTCTGTATCTCTCTGTGTTTTGTGATAAAATACAGAGATAATAAATGTATGCTTAGCTTTTGCATTGGCATAATTATCATCAGTAGTTTTTCACTGATTCAGGTTTTATACTTTCATGCAGACATCGATAGGAAAAAACACTTTCTATATTCATTCAAAAACACCAGATTTAAATGCAAACGGCCACCACTCACTGCTTCTTTCCAACCACGGAGTCAAGAGGAAAATGGAGGCCTGTTATCTGGATACAAAGCCATTTTTTAAACTTCAGTTCAAAACGTTACCGTAGCGAAGACAAGGACGACTCAACGAAGCGACAAAACGGAAAGAATTTTAATGACCTACAAGAACCCACCAAGTCTTTCAAACAACAGCAAAGCATTCACCTTTTTATTTTCTCAGATTTGTAAAAGCTTTCCTCTCTGCTCTGAATCTCAATGGAGCGGTATAAATGTTAGAAATACGATGTTCGTACTAACCTCATAAAATCTAGTGCTCGTCTTTTAGCTCTGGTTTTCGTGTTTACCAGGCGCCGGAGCCAGTTAAGTGCGAGTTTTTCTGAACAACATGGAAGGAATGATAATGCTGCCAAGTCTGTTGGAGGAGATCAAAGTACATGTGAAGACTTTGGCATTCTTGGAGGGGTAGTTTTATTAAGGAGAGTATTAGTAGTATCTGGGAAAGTAGAAGTAGTAGTAGTGGTGGTGGTAATAGTATTAGTAGTGGCGTTAATAGTAGAGGTAGTGGTAGTATTCCAGTTAGTAGTAGTAGTATTTGGGATAGTAGTAATTATAGTACATAGGGTTGTAGTGGTAGTATTGAGGTTGAAGTAGAAGTATTATCAGTATTTGGCTACATAGAACACTAAGAAAATGTGTTAAAAAAAAAGTTTTTACCCATGTCACACAAGCCTCTCCTCATTGACATCAAATCTGAGCAAGAAGGTCCTGGGTTCAAATCCCAGTCGGAACAGGGCCTTTCTGAGTGGAGTTTGCATGTTCTCCCCGTGTCTGTGTAGGTTTTCTTCCAGGGTGCTCCACTTCCCCTACCACTAAAACATGTACAGTAGGTAAATCCTCCAACTCTGACCCTGACCAAGCCTAGCATCAACATCTGGAGAGGGGTCCCCGGACGCTGTACTTGTCATGGTGAGGACTTTTTGATTACTAATCCTGGTTTTATTTTGATTCTTTTCAGTGTTACCTAATGTCTCTTC